CGTTACTATGTCATCTTGGCTGGGAGTTGTACGAGAAACATACTTGAATGTAATTGTTGTTTTTAAAAGGAGCCAGGTAAGAGCCAGGTATTATACAAAATCATTGATGTGTGCATATATTTGTACTTCTCACAGGAGAGATTATGATCTGTTGTTTTGCACATAAGCACATAAGTGCACATAACTTGCACATAACTTGCACTTGCCCTACACATGCCAAGTGTAAATGACTTTCACAGAACACATGAATATCACATGTCACTTGCATGTGACATTCACTTTCTGATTGCAGCAACAACAATATATATTACATTTGGATGTCTGATATAATTGATAAATATGTCTATGCAAGTCATGTATTATTCCTTTTCACCAGATGTGCTGTACCAGGAGAAGATGCTGCAAAACTAACCCAAGCAGTTGGTGTAACTCCAGTGAGTTGATTAATTCTTTCTTGATGCTGAGATTTTTACCATACCCATAACCCTGTGACTGTTTAGTTGTTATGCTGCTGCCTGGGAATTAATTAGAACAAATTACAAAAACAAAATTTTGTGTGTGGCAATACTCTCAAATATACATACAAGTACTAGGATGCCAATCATCATGTTATGCATGTAAGTGTCTTGATCAATTCTCATCAATATGGCTATTATGTGGTGGTGGGTTACTTATGCATGCCATTCTGCATGAGATAACACTGACTTGATTGCACATTATGACCTCGTTAAAATGAACATCTTTATAATGAATTTCCAGACATAATGAACTCATATCTCCAGCTCTTAGCAAACCCAATGTAAATGTGATTCATTATAGTGAACACAATGGGATTCTTTGCAATTAGAGTGTCTGTCTGTCTGTATGTGTGTGTGTGTGTGTCTGTCTGTCTGTCTGTATGTGTGTCTGTCTGTCTGTATGTGTGTCTGTCTGTCTGTGTGTTCAGCTGATATATCAAGATCATATGTTAGTTTTTCATGAAACCATGTGCATAGATGCTCTGGGCTAATGCACAGATTTGATTAGGTTTTGATTTAAATTTTAGTTGTTTCGTGACTGTTCTACTGGATTTTGATAACATTTGATGCTTTGAGACAATTCTCAGACCTGATTAGTTTTGGGTGAAGATCTTGTGCTTATTAATTACCTGATTTGCATAATGATTAGTTAATTTGTGACCTTTCCCCTGATACATCTATCTCAACAATACATTAGTTTTGGATTGAAATTTGAGCATATTAATTGCTGAATTTGCACAATGTGTATAATCATTGCTTTTCGTTGAAATTTGGTTCATAGATGCTCTGGGGTAATCCACAGACATGATTAGTTTAATAATGGAGAACATTGTCACACGCGACGTAATATTACCGTAATTGGTATAGTACAGGTGTGATGGTTCAAATACCAAAATGGCAACAGTAACATAAAGACTTCCCCGGCGGCGATGATAACATACGAACACAGAGTCAACAGATGAGGTTTCAACTGGTACTGGTATTATTATACTCTGCAAACATCAAGTACAATAACTCGATAAAACTCCACTACTCCAATAACTAGATACTTAAACTCCAACACAATTCAACGAGATCTCCGATCTAATCTCAGTGCTGAACAACTCCCCTATATATACCCACACTGTCTATAAATAGACCATTACATCAGCATACATAATGAGTCTGGAACTTACTACAAATTTCTAGAATGTTCCATTACCTATTCAACCAGTTTCTAAAAATTCCACCCAGACACAGTACGGTTCTAGAACATTCTTAGTCACACGGAAGTGGTACACAAGTCGTATGCGACATGCCTCCCCTCTCAAGAATATTATAACATATAATATTACATGACTAGCAACGACGTCAATAATACGAATACGATAACAATTTCAAATAAAACAACAATACAATATATCAAATCGAACTGAGTACATAAATTCGAAACTCACATACAGTAGAATATAATAAAATATGAAATACAGTCATAAACGAATAACATTCTACTATACTGTTCAAAA